ACATGATTAAGTAGACTAGAAAACGCTGTATTTGATTTTGCTGACTAAACAAAGCCAGGTAATTAAAAGATGGTTTATTTATAAAGTCTCTAATGTGTATTGTTATGTTTGGGGAAGCCTGGTGTCCTCTGTAGTAGGCACACAAAGTGTCTAAAGAGTTTTGTCAGTTATGTTTTAGAGTCTGCCTGTGTGTGATGTCTGCTCCTGCTTCTGAGACCTCAGCTGATCGTCAGGGATATTGGCACTTTGTAGGGACGCTGAGGGTCAGAGCTGCTGCTGTTCTAACAGGTGCTATCTTCTGATACGCCCCGTGCATGTAACTTAGATCTCCAGAGTGCGCTGGGGGTGAGAGACTGGCTTCCTGTCTTAACGCTGCTGCATTTCTAGGACAGCGCTGGGTACATAGTAGGCCCACATTTTTTTGGCAGGTACGGTTTGCCTGTTAGAAATGACCACAGAGTTTGATGAGCCATGAGTTCTGGAAACTAGAGAGAGACAAGAGTCAAATTTTTCTTCTCTGAGACAATCATGTTATGTAATAATTTCAAAGTGATGAAGGCATGGCTATTTTTGTAATTTTAAAATATGGCAGAGTATGAGAAGGTTGACAGAACCAACTGGCTTGCTCTCTATTTATAGAACTTGGCCACATCTGATCCAGAGAGACTGCAGATTGGGGGAAGCTGGGCTCATTTAGATGGTTGAGTAATGTAGGATGTGGCACAGGGATCATAGAGTACCAGGCCTTTTTGGGAACCGTTCATACATGAGGAAGGTATGTGCCCAGTGTCATCCCCCCACTGTGGCAGCTGGGGGAAAACATCTTTGCCATGCTTTGTCATGTTCCTTGGGACCATCTTTTTAAAGTTTATTTTTATTTTGTGGGTAAAGATGCTCTGCCGTTTTGCCTGCATGTATGTCTGTATTCTGTATACTACAGGTATACAGTACCTGTGGAGGCCAGAAGGGTGCAATGGACCATCTGGGACTGGACTTACAGATGGCTATGATCTGCCACGTGGGTGCTAGGAACAGAAGCCAGGTCCTCTGGAAGGGGAGCCAGTGCTCTTGGAATGGTCTCCGAACAATGACCATTGAGAGAACATGAGGTATGCCTCTTTCCTGCTGTGGCATGCTGTAGCAAGCAGGAGGATCATGGTGGAAGGGTAAGATGTGGGCTCTGAGGACTATTTTGAGCATGGGTGTTGGCTACTACAAACTAAATTTAACGTATCTAGAATGGTCAGGGGTTCTGGCTCACTAGTGCTCTGCTTGAAGGAGAGCTTAAGCAAGTGTTCTGATGACCCAGATTTGCTTGTCACACACCCATCAACTAGTGTTAGATCATTATCAGATAGTACCAGAGTGCAAAGGGAGAGAAAATGCGAATGCCTTCTCCAGTGTGCTGAACCGGGGATGGGCCCGAGGGCTGCTCAGTCTCTGCACAGCTCGGCTGGTGTCTGCTCAGTGACCCACCCCACACCTCTGGAACACACACTCTGAGTCTTGTGTTTCCCGCATCTGCTCTGTGTTTTTACTAGGAGTAAAGCAGGTTCCAGTGTCAAGAGAAGTATCTTGCTTGGTTCTGGATGGATTGTTCCTCTGATAGTGGGATGAACAGTTAACAAAAGAACCAGTGGCAGTCATGTGCACCTTTCTTTAGAATGTTAGGGAGCCCCATTCCTGTGTCCAACTGACTGAATGGTTCTACACCCCCCATCCCCGCCTTTTTAAGAAAAGAACAGATTCAAAACCTGGCCTTAAAATTATTACTGTATCTTTGGAACACAAGCTTGCTTGTGTTTTGTCATGGTGGTGGTCTGAAAACCTTTGTATGGGGTTACCTTTTGTTGTGTGTTCATGTGGGTGTTGCTTTGTGTATGTCAGAGGACAGCTTGAAGGAGTTTGCTTTTTCCTTCCACCATCTGGGTTCTTGAGATGTGGACTTGTCAGGCTTAACAGCAAACACCTTGACCTACTGAGCCATCCTGCCAGCCTTTTTTTTGTTTTGTTTTTTGGGTTTTTTGTTTGTTTTTGAGATGGAATTTCGCCATGTGGCTCAGACTGGCCTTGCTTCAGGCTCCTGAGAGCTGGGATGACAAGTGTGCAGACCCACGTGTGCACTGTCGGTGGCTCACATACCCCTTCCCTTGCCACCAAGAACCTGAGCAGCAGAGGTCAGCTTGCTAACCAGAATCCTCCCTGCCGAGCTTGTGAAAGTGGCGGCCATCATGGCTTTTGTGCTTCTGTTACCAGCCAGGTGGCTTTTGTGCTACAGAGATGTGGGCTCATTAATGCTCAGGTGCTGTGCTTTATGAAGGTAAATGTTGGTGGGAAGAGACATTGATTCAGCCTCAAGTTCAAGGACGTGGACTGTATCAATGGCCCATCCCTGGAAATCTCCAGGCATTCATCATTAGCACAGTTTGGTGGCCTCAAACTTGTCTTTCTGCCCTGCTGAGGCCGAAACAAAGACTTGGGAACCAGCCACCATGGGCTGTGACTGCTGGTGCCAGAACCAGAATGAGCAAGGACGAGGAGGAGTCGGTACTGAGAATGAAGTTTCTTTTCTCCTGGTGCCCAGAGGCAAGCAAGACGAGGTCACAGATGACAGAAGGCCAAGCAGAATGGGAAGAGGTTGGTTGCAGGCAGCCTACACTGCAGTCATTTCCAAACACGGGCCCATTCAGAACCACCTGAGAGGTTCCACCCTGTTCCCGGTGAAGCTGGTGTGTGGTGGGACCTGAAAAGCCTCATTTTTAGCATCTTAGGTGATACTGACACTCCTGGAGCATACTTTGAGAATCAGGTAAGTAATGCTGGACTCCAGCTAAAAGGAATAACGAATTTGGGCACATAGGTAAGTAAGAACATAAAGATTCTTCCGGTAAGTCATGGCATGAATAGAGGTATAGAAATGAGAGCCCAAACAAGCATGCTGGCAAGTCCCAGGGCAGTCCCATCAGAAAAATGCTGGTGGCAGAGAAGAGTCCGCCTGTACCAGAAGGACTGAGATGCCACAGGCTGCAGGCAGAAAGGGCCTCTCACCACGGGTGTACTCCAAGAAGGCTGGCAGCAACCTTGTGCACAGGTACCTAATCAGCTGCGTGGAGGGGGAGTCTGGCTGAGCAGACTCAGACTGTGACTAAGGGTTGTTGCTGTAGACAGATACGGGATAGTAGTCCTTGTGTCACAAGTGTGCTCCTGAATTAAAGGGACACAAATTAGAGTTGTGGGACAGCTGTAATAGCCAGTGACCCGGAACTGGATTTTGGGTTACACAAAAGACTCACACCGAAGTAGCACAGTGGAAAGATGCAGAAGGCACAGCACTGAGGCAAAACCCAGAGCCCTGGGTACACATACCCAGCCACAGGAAGCCAGGGACGGAAGGATACTGCATAGCCCTGCTCGCAGGGGACTTGGCACTTGCCGAGGGGTGACAGGCACAGGTAACACACTGCGGAGGAGCCTGGTGACAGAGATCCTGAAAGGCTTCCTGGAGGAGAGCTGAGCTGAGCTGCAAGGCACAGGCACAGCAGGCTGGCCTGTGTGGGTCAGAGGAGCTGCAGTCAGACAGAGGTAGACGGTATGGGGAGGAGGAGCAGCACAGGCAGGCGTGGAGACAGGGTGAGGCCATAGGCCCCACCACTGCTGCACTGGAGTTAGAGCAAGGAGTGGAGAGCTGGGCAGGAACAAAGGTCAAGTATCATAGAATGACCTTAGAATTTGCCGTGGGCAATGTTGGTTTGGGTTTGAAATGCTGGCCCTTAAAGAGCCGTGTGTTAAAGGCTGTAGGGCACTGTTGGGAACTGGAGGGATATTTGAGGTAGGCCTGACCGCACAGTCATGGAGGCCATGCCCTTGCTCTCTCTTTGCCGCCTTCCATTACAGGCCCACAACAGCAGGGACAAATGACTGTGGGCTGAAAGGTCCGAGACCATGAGCCAAAATGGTGTCACTACTAAGATTATTCTCTCAGGCATTTCATTACAGGACAGTTCTAACATAGGCTGTGTGGATTGTTAGAGCAGACTGGAAACCGCAACAGTCAGGGTGCTGGGGCGGGGTCCAGATCTAGGAGAAGCTGGCATGTAGGGCGGTGGGAGCAGGGGCTGAGCAGGAACTGGGAAGACTCGAGAGCAGATGGAGGTGGGAAGCCCAAAACAATAACTTTTGCCATACAGTTTACAGGGTGATGGTCTGCAATGATCATTTTGTAAATCTGTCTTCTGAATTGTGAGCATGAACAATTGATGGACCAGCAGACCTCTGTCCCCAAGTTGGAAGCTCAGGGCTGATACAGGAGACGCTAGCATTTATGTGGCTGGAAACCCTGAGGCTTGGTGAACTCCTGGAAGATCGTCAAAAGCACACACATAGTCTGGGAACACCCGAGAACAAAGGAGATGCAAGCTCAGGAAAAAGGCAGATCCAAGGAGAACTAGGAAGGCTCAGGGGGCAGGGCCTTTGCAAAGGGGAGGGTTGTTCAACTGTAGCCTCAGCAAGTAGGTGAGGGATGGGGCAAAGAAACACAAGGAGCTGCTGAGGGGCTGAAGGATGGGGAAGGTATTTTGGTACATCTCCTGAAGCCTCAGTCGGGACAGAAGCTGACGTCTCGTTCTTGTTTTGAATTTAGGATTCAGAGTGACATCTCGGGAGTTACAGGGTTCCTTGTAATTCTTTTTTTTTTTTTTTTTTGGTTTTTCGAGACAGGGTTTCTCTGTAGCTTTGGAGCCTGTCCCGGAACTAGCTCTTGTAGATCAGGCTGGCCTTGAACTCACAGAGATCTGCCTGCCTCTGCCTCCTGAGAGTCTTGTAATTCTTGTGTGTCTCTGTGAGGATATAGAGGCATGAGGGACACAGCGACACTATGGCAGAGGACAGCCTGGGGAGGCCCAGCAGAAGCAGTGGCAGGGCTGGAGGCTGGGGTAGTAGCCCGCAGTCACTTGCCAAATGCCTTGGTGTAGAGGGGGAATAGACAGCAGCAGGAATAAGACTACTCTCCTGCCCCAGGAGCTTTACAGTGAAAAGTTTATTAGAAGGGCGCTTATAAGAAGAGGGGACACGGCTCTTTAACATTGGGGTACAATGCTGTAAGATACAAAAGTTAGAAAAATCTAAAACACTATAAATACATGCTTTTTACAAAGATACTAAAGGCCCGGATGGCTGAATAGTGACAGCGATCTCAGCCTCCAGGCATCCCCACACGAGAGTCCACACCAGCCCACCTGCCCTGGCAACAGCAAAGGCTTCTGGGATAAAGATGGCTCCAATTTCTATGTGAAGTTTTCAGCGCAGAGGACGTGCTCGCTCTCGAGGGCCTGGGCTTGACTAGAGCGGCCTGTTCGTGCATGCCATCACTTGTTGACCCAGTCTGGTCTGACGTTTGTGGATCAGGAGCCAAAAAAGCCATTGCAGCCTCCATCCGTGTTCAGGGCTGGCTGTGTTCCAGCTCTGCCCGTCGCTGTCCTGGGGGGGAGAGCTTCACAACAGTCTTTAAGAAATTAAATACCTATCCATCTGAATGGCTTTAAAGACTTGTTACATAAATATGCAGACAGCAGAATGCTAAACATCACTTTTGTCTTAACACAAGCCAGCTGCAGGGGCTGTTTCGAAGGTGATAGCCATGCATCAACATGTTCCTCTCCGTCCAGTACCCTGTCAGCAATGCACACCTTCATGTTTGACCCGCATCCTGGTGTGTGGCTTCCTGCCCACTTGGGAAGTTGCTGAAAAGAGGCCAAGTGATTGGAACACTGACCACTCATGAGAAATACGAGTGCGCTCCAACCAGGCTCCGGCTAATGTAAAGGCACAAACATCTAGCCACTTAGTCACACAGTGAGAAATACAGTGCAGCGCTGTGGCTGTGGCCCTCCTGGTGCAGGCGCCTTTCCAGCCTCTCAGGGACTTAGCCTCAAGCTGCCATTTCTGATTTTTTTCTAAGAATGAAGTCGGATATTTGCCTCTGCCCCAGACAACTCAGGCACATGTGTGACCACACACACTACTTAAAGAAAACCTTTCTGTGGTCAGAGTGAAGACATCAAGCCCTGGAATATATCCCGTCTCTGAGAAGCAAGTAGGAGAAGAGCAAGGCCACAGCACCCTGAAGCACCGCAGCTCATTTCAATACATTAACGGGTAGGCAAAGAATCACTGACAGTAAAAATAAATACAGCACACTCTCAGGACAGTGGAGAAGTCTGCCAGCAGCCTTGCCCTCCCTATGTTCTTCCTAAGAGAGTCCCTGCTGTGCACTCCAGGCTTTTCTCGAGATGCCAGGTCTTCCACAGGCCTCCTGGCAGGTGGCCAGCTGCAATGACATGCCGGCACAGGCCTGTAATCCGCACGGCTGGGCTACCTGCACACGCACCGAGTGAAGTTGGAGGAGCAGGATACAGTTAGCTCCCTGGGCTGCTGAAGAAGAGGATCTCTGCCCAGCGCCAGCCATGGGGTCAGTGTCAGCAGAAACCCGAGGCTGGCACAGCACATGCGGTTAGGGCACCTGAAGGAACCACACTTCAAAGGCCACAGCAGCCAGCTGCACTGCTTTCCTCTTGACTTCCAGCTGTCCTTTAGAAGTAGAAGTGCTGTCCGTACGAGACAAGATGGAAAGCTAACTTGGGAGGACACTTAGATTACTCGTACCCAAAGGACCTGTATTCTCCACGATGGAGTGGCATTTTCTAGATTCCAAAGCCTTTTATTTTCCAGGATGCAAAGAGTACTTGCCTAGAATTTCCTTGTACATCCTATAGCGACTGGCCAATAAAGCAAGGAGGCCAAGGAAGTAACGTTTGGCAAGAAGAGAAAAAGAAAAAGATACTCTCAACTTTGTGCCTCCCAGGAGCAGCAGAGTAGCCGTCCGCTGAGCACTGCAGGCTCCCGTGCATTTCCAGATACAGAGCAGGCTATGGATGGCACCATTCGTGCTGCGTGGAGCTCTTCTCTGGCCAGGCACCTAGGGGATGAGATGGGAGCCCCTAGGGAACTGGGCAGCAAGTAGACAAGACAGGTCCCCATGAACCACCGCCTATGGCTTCAGTAGGAGCCATCAGAACATCCTTGTGCTGGGCCTGACTCAGAGCTTGGGTGACATGCAGGCAGTTCCAAGGACTTCCTGTGTCTGAAGCAGCAGTCCACAGACCATCTCAAGCCTGGCACAGTGTTCACACCCACTGTCTATGCCCTCTCAGGAGAGGAGGCATTCAGGACTGCCTTTGGGTTCTGTAGCAGCAGCCTGCGGAGGAGGTGTCTGAAGGAGGCTTGGGGAACAGCGTGCCTACTGGAAACATCTTGCCCAGAGCTTCAGAGGCCAAAAGAGTCTGCAGGAGAGACATCAGAATGTGCCCCAGAGTCTCTGAAGCATCAGAAGATTGGTCACATTGGAGGGAGCACTTTCTTCCCTTCTGGAACAAGACAGGACTTCCACAGGAAATCCATACGAAAACGTGGATGGTCATTTCACAACAGAAGCAGCAGCCAAGAAGAAAGTACCAATTGCAGGTAGCGATCCTGTGTGCTGTGTTCTACAAAAGCAGGGAAAGGGACTCTTTTTCCAGTTGAAGTAATTTATACTCATTTTCTCTGTCATTGCCACTGGGAACGGTGCTCACTGCACAATATCACTGCAGCAGTTTTCGGTGACAGTCCTTTACCAAAGCTGGGGAATCTTACATCCTAGAGTGAAGGTGACAGGCCTCTCTGTGCCAAGCCTGCAATTTCCCAAGGTGTAAAATAATTGTAATAGCCCTTTTTCATCTGCCCCTGTCGGATTGCCTGGGGATGTCTTACCTTCTGGTGAATTGGCTTCTGTAAATCTCAGCTTCCAAACCTCAGGGCAAGCAGCAGTTGGTGGGTCCGCTCTGGTCTTCCAGCCAATGTACACACACTGCATTGTCTTTATAAAACAGAAGACATTGCAAAGAGCCTGTGCTAGGTGACTTCATTAATGCAACTGGCTCCGTAAACCAGCACACCATATGCATCCGAATACAGTGCCAGCTTTCAGAGACACATTCAGTGTGGTGCCACCTCGCTTGGCCATGCTCCACCACTGCCCTCTCTGCTTTCTGGGAACACTTGGACAACATCCGTATCTGAGAGCACTGTGACAACAACAACTATACATCCCATCCACGCAGAGCTTCAGCAGGTCCTTCCGAGGGAGAAAGGACAATGAAGAAATGGCTCTCACCAGCTTTACCCACTGGCATGTTCCAATCTGCATTCTGGGGGCGGGGAGAGTGCCACTGTAGGCCATCCGGTTCACCAGGCACACTCTCTGTGTGGAAGTGATGGCACAGGGCATGCTCCATTGTAGTTTTTATCCACGGATTCCGAAAGCCAGGATGCTCTTCCAAAGGTACACTCCAGCCCTTGAGAAAGGCACTTCCCTCTTTGACAGTCACATCCCAGCTCTCTGACATTGAACAGGAGTCAGATGGCGACACACCACCTGCTAGCTCAAGCCACCAGATCAGGAGCCACGATTTGGGCTTCAAACTGGGGCACATATATGCAGACACAGCTGTTCATAAAATCATCCCTGGGAATTTTTTTTTTGTTTGTTTTTTTTGTGGTTTCAGAAACAGGTTGGTGCCTTAGTTGAGAGAAATTTGTTGTCTTCTTTGACAAAAACAAGTTGGATGGAGTTCTCTTCCAAGGCCATTTTCCCCAAGCCCACCCTCCCCCACCCACTCCCTCCACTCCCAGTATCTCTAAGACACACTGGAACAGCGGATACTGGGGGAGCCCATCTGGGTGAGGACCTTGTCTAGCCACTGCAAGGGCCCATTCAGGTGCAGCTCGATCCAACAGGGAGTACTGGTCACTGTCTGTCTTCTGTAGAGAGAGGGAAGAGATGGGAGACTTTAAAATATCCAGAAGGACACATGTAAGTCAGGACACTGCTTTTTGCCACCTCAAGCCAGAGATCTCTTCATGCTAGATAATGCCAAGAGGTGTACCAATAATGCAGCCGAGGAGGGCTTTGAGTCAGGTTCTGCTGGAGGGAGAGGATCTCAGAGTTAAAGGAGGACTGTGACAGGCCCCCATGTATGGCCTGCCTGAATGAAGGTCTCCTTGGCTCCCAGCTCTGCCCCTGGGTAGGTACCTGCAGCCCCTCCCCAAATCTGGGCCAGCCCCACAGTTGTCACGCCTGTCTGTCTGATGGAGGGTGTTTTCACAAAGTGCTGACAGCCCACATGCTCAGGCCCCAGTGTGCCGCTATAATCCCATCTACAGCTTATTTTGGAAAATCTTACCAGCAGAGCTAGCCGGGGAACAATTACTGGAAAAACCAAGGCACACCACACATTTCTTTTCCTCCAGAGCACTTTGTCTAAATTCAGACTACTTGGTGACGCAGCTCGCAGGCAAGCTCCCAGAAGCCTCCAGTGAGCAAAGGCTATCTGCTGTGGCCACATGCGGGTGCCAGCTGGAGGTGAGGACTGGGATGCAGGCCCACTTACAGCTGCTTTAGAAAACCGGCCTGAAACCTTACTCTGTTTGGCCCACAATGCAGGAGGGCATGTCTGTTCTGGGAAGGGGCCGCACCCGCCACTCAGCTGCTGTGCCGTGCTGCCAGGCGGCAGTGACGCAGCGAGCTGTGTAGGACGGGGTGTGCTGGCATGGTACCCTGCATAGTGATACAGTGCCCTAGAGAGGGGCTTCTGCCAGCACATCCAGGGCCACTATCCTGAGAGTCCCCCTCCTCTTTGATCATCAAGTGCTTCGTCTGAATACTTAGGGAGAGTCCACTAAGCCTGGGGTGTCTGCCTGAAGACCGTGGGCCTCCCCAGTTCTCTGCCTTGGGGGATTTTGCTCTAAAGAATTAGTTTTCTAACCTTTCACTCGCATTTCCTAAATGATGTAAATCCTGGACTAAAAGGTTGGCTCAGGCAGTTCTCCAGCCAGACCTCTGGGCCGGGTCATCAGAACATGGCTGGAAGTTCTTCCACAGTCTAACCGTTTGGGTTCTTGCTTGGTTGCCCTCCCTGGGTTTCAGATTAAAGGGCCCAAAGTGCTTGGCTCACTGGCACCATGAGGCATCCCCGGAAGAACAGCAGCTCTGAGAGCTAAACAGAGAAGGTGGATTTGACCTCCATCCTCTGCTGGGAGTCCGACTTTCCATAAGTCACGCTCATCGGGATTTCATTACGCACGGTGGCCCGGAGCCAGCATCGAAATGGGTTTGGCCAGGGTGCAGAATGACTGCAAAACAACTGATTCCAAACATCTGGAAAAATGAAGAGAAGGGGCGAGGAACTAGCAAGGCGCTGGCTGCAGCTGATGTGTGGGTACCTCTGTGTCTGTCTGCTTTGGGAGCTGGGAAGGAGGCATGGAACAGAAGGGCATGTGGCCCTGCCTCCGAGAATGCTCCTGTCCACTATGGGGAAAGGAGACTAGATTCTCATTAGCCCAAGTCTAGACGGTCTGAGGGCCTCGTGAGTAGACCAGGTAGGCCTGCCTGTTACTGGTGCCATGTTTTAAGTGCTAACTGGAATGTTTTTTTTTTGTTCTTTATAAACACTCAAATCTCATCCTTTGTTGAGTTTAATAGTGATGGAGCCAGTGGTAGTGTCAGGGAGCCAGTCACCCTGAGAGTGAGTCTGTCCCCAGAGAGACTGAAAACACAGGAGAGGCCAGGATGGAACATGTCTTTGTCTTTTCCACTTAATGCATGTTCTTTTCTCTCTATAGGCTTTAGTTCCCACATCTCTATAAGAACAATTCCAGTGTCCCCACACTGAGCCCGGAAATGCTGACCAAGCTGGAGAAGTGCTGAGCCACTATGCCACCGTACCTGGCCTCCATACCTGGCCTCCCTGATCCCTGAGGACCTAGGCCAATGGCCTAGAGTTGGCTCCTCCCCAACACCTGCTAAAAGCAGCTCAGTCACTGACCTGTACTCGGCGCCCCAGCCTTTGACGAAGCTCATTCGGATGGTGCACATGCGAGTCAGCTGGTAGACGGCCTCAAAGCCCTGGTTGACCGACTGAGCCAGGAGGGCAGCGAATTCCTGGTTGTTGAAGATCTTCAGATTGCAGCCTGCCAACCACAGACAGTCAGATACAGCAATCCTGGGCCCGCCCAAGTGACCCGATTCACTCGCCTCAAGTGGCAAACGGTGGCTCCACTTGGTGGCCACCTGCTCTGTGCTCATGCAAGGATGGGCCTTCTCCATTCCTACACTTGATCTGCACACCCCTAGCAGGGAGATGCACATGCAAGGGGCACCAAAGGCTGGCCCACAGATGCCACCTCCTCCCGCTCTGGGGAGCCACATACTAAGAAGGAAGCCTGGAAGTGGGCTTGGATGACACAGGGATCATCTGGGGAGGCTGAGGCAGGACTCTGGTTCAGAGAGGCAAGGGACCTGAGCCTGGTGGCCAATGCCTTGTGGTGTAGGAGCCACCTGGACACAGGTGCTCCTTCACTGGTATGGCAGCAGGGCATGGGCAGCGAGGTGGGTGTGGGGCCTACCGACACAAGAATGGATACTCTCTCGAGTCGAAAGCACCCTCCTCTAGGCTCCTCCGATGGCCCTGCCTCATGCTGGGGTGGAGGAAGAGAGTTGAGTCACATGGTGACCTCTCCATTCAAGCTTGGGCCAACGTGACAACAACAAAGTACCTAATTCTCTACAATACAGCTAGAGACAGGCACAAATAATACTGAAAATAAACCTTGTTTGAAATCCTACTGCCCAAATGCCAAGAGAGCATAACCCAGAAAATAAAGGCCAAAGTCCATGCCAGGAACCAGAGAACCAGCAGAGACCCTGTCTGCTGTGTGACTCTGCTGCCTCTCCTTGTGATCTGGTGTGTCTGGTGGGGGTGGGGAGTTGGGTCCTGACCGTCCCTAAGCTGACAGGACACTACCAGAGACCCCTCAGGCTTCAGGGATGGAGGTGAACAGGGTAGGTGGCAGGCTGGGAATACCACCCAGCTTCCACCTCCACCCCTGCATGCTCCCAGGGGGGTGGGTAGTGGGTAGAACAAGGCTCAGTCCACACCCATTCTCAGGGCTGCACCCCAGCCAAGCCAACAGACTGAACACCCGACTAGTCGGCCAGCCTTCCGTGGCTTCTTCCCAGCTCTGGGACTTAGATGCGTGGTTCACTCTGAATTCTCTCCCTAGCCTTTCTTCGAGCCCCAGGGGCTACTGGAGAGGAAGAGTGAGTTCAGAGAAGTGAGTGTGCTTTGTGAATGAAACCACAAAAGCTGCCAAAGCAGAGCTCCATTCCTGGCTGAAATTCTCGGCGTTCTTTGGTTTACCCGGCCACAACCCACCACTCCACCATCACCTACTAAGCACAAACGGGAAAAGGAGCTAACTACACATCCCAAGCAATGGCCGGACACAGGCCACGTGCTATATATATGAGGATATATATATATATATATATATATATATATATATATATATCCATATATATCCATATATATCCATATATATATATGAGGAGTGTTTTGGCTTTCTGCCGTGGTGGAGTCCAAGCCTGGACATTCTTGGGGTCCATGAGACATCCTCAGAAAACCCTCAACTCCCCAGAATAAACCCCAAACTTCCTCCCTTCACCCAAGGCCCAGAAAGCCTTTTAAACATCTCCTGCCTTACATGGCGCCTCCAGCCAGTATCCCGCCCTCCGTTTCTATGCCCTTGTTGCGGTGTCCTTCCTGCCGCATGCCCTCACAAACTTTACCCCACCTCTCCTGGCACCTAATGTCTCCTCCAGGATGCCCTCCCCGATTTCTCCCTATCAGCTGCTGGCCTGGGTCTTAGCGCCCTGTGTCACATTCCCCGTCTTCATCTTGAATAGCCCGGGTCTATAACAGCTGTGCGTGCAGGAGCATCCCTGTCCACTCTTCATCCTGCTCCAGTTTCTGCCACAGACCCTGCGTCTCCTCTGTTTGCTGACGGAAAGACACCAGTGCATACCCGTGTGTGTTGGAGGGTGCCCTGGGTTAGAGATTAGCTAGATAGCACCTCTGATCTCGTGAGCTTCCGTGGTACAGGAGGACAGACAGGTACAGAGTGTCAACAATGCAGACACCAATGTGGAGGAAAGGCAAAAAAGCCCCAGGGGCCATGGCCCAAGGCAGCACCTCAGGGGCTTACCTACCTGGGGGGATCTTGCAGACGGTGGCAGGGTGCCAGCCATAGCGCTGGTTGCAGTTGGGTGACTGAACAAAAATCGCGCTGTCACTGAGGCACTCTGCAAAGACCTCCCCTCCAATGTAGTAGAGCCGCACACCTCTCCCTAGGGAAGTCAAGAGACACTGGGTCAGAGAGACCAACCCACTGGGCAACAAGGCTAGCTGGGGAGGGGGCTGCTCCAGATAAGAGGAGCCCAGAGCCCAGCCCAAAGCCAAGTGGGAGAATGTGACGGGCAGCTCGGGGTTCCTAAAGCAGCTGAAATAGGTGGCAAGGGAAGGAGCCTGTGCCCAGTCCCAGCCTGAGCTCCTGTGTAGAGGACAGTGGTAATCACCTACCTCAGTGGTGACTGCCACAGTGTCTGGTGAGGACAGCTGCTGCCACCCCACTGCTCTAGTCCCACCCCCAACAGCGGGCACAGAAGTGCTTTGGTGAAGCCAGGGTGCTACTGAGACATCAGCCCTCTCTGGCTCCTTGCCATAGGGACCTCGCTTCACGTGGTTCCCTAGTGCAACTCTTGCCTTCCCTTCATCACCTAAATCCAACCCAGATGGACAGAAATTAATTTTCAATTGGCTCAGCACTCCAGCGGTTATGTAAACATTGAGCTCTGCCCAGTGGGGGATGTCCCCTTATGCTTAGGAGAGGCCCAGAGTGCCAGGAAACAGCTGGACTTGAAGACCAAAGTCCTGTGTGTATGCTCAGGTGACATCTATACACTGCCTACTCCACACTCCCACCTCCTCTCATCTAGGTCCCACGGCACTCGGTGCTGGGGGCGGGTGTCTCAGTGTCCCCAGGACGCAGCTGTGGGTGTGGGGGCCGATTACCAATGTGCCGCCTCGTGAGCTCCACAGCTGCATTCCGGTTGACATTGGACAGCAGGCCCAGGCAGAAGCGCTCAGAGTTGGAGGGATCAGTGAAGCCATCCACTGTCATGGATGGCTGTGAGGCGTGGAATGTCTCCCCAACTCGCTGGTTTAGCTCATAGTAGGAGATGGAGCACCAGAAGGCCGGCTCACAGTAGGTCACTGGCTGTAGGTCTGCAGAGACATGGAGTGTGCTGGGTCAGTGGGTACCTACAGAAGCTCTAAAAGACTTTCTCCTCGTTGCCCCCTCCTCCCAATTTCCATTGCCATACCAGGGACTAAGGTCCTCGGGGTCTGAGGGAGACCCTGCCAGATTCCAAGGAAAGCAGTACTAGGTCCTTTTCTTTTGGGCCTACACACACCCTGCTCCATAGGGTTTAGCCTTCCTGTGAACAGAAGCAGCCTTTGGAGACAGGCTAGCCCAGACACGAAACAGGTCAGGACCAGCCGGCACCAGGTGCATCACTATAAGCAGCCCTAGGTACGCTCTGGATGTGGTATGCGGCCGTGCCACCTTCAAAAGTCACCTCCTACTCTCTCTTCTGGGATCCTCAGAGGAGCCCGCGTCAATCTCTGCCTCCCAAAGGGCTTTTGCTTTGGTGCCTCTTGACCTGAGGAGCAGCAGTTTGTTCCTCTGGCATCTGTAATGACATGGCCACAGAGGCCTCACGAGTGCAGCAGCACCTCATGTGTGAACATGCAGACCAGGATCCGGAACAGGACTGGCCATGTGTCACAGCAGAAACCATGGCCCATCTTGATGTAGCTGCCAGCTGTTGGGATGACGGGACACAAAGCAGCTCTGACGATTTCGTTGTTGTTTTTGTGGTTGTACAGCCTCGACTAGGTGCTCCTCAAGGTAGACTGACCACATGAGGGCCGACTCTCTCCTACGACAGCTGGGGACTGCTTCAAAAGAAGTCAAGTCCTCTCAATAGCCCAGCTTTCCACTTCCACGCCCTGGGACCCATGTAGAGTTCAAACAGCCCTGCCCCAATCCGCACACCTCTACAGCATGCCGCTGGCAGGGTCCCCTCAGCAGGCTGGCTTCTGCCAGCTCTTCCCTCAGAAGCCTACAGCCTACGGCCTACAGCAGGAATTCATGCGCTGGGCGCCACCCCCAGATGCTCCTCCCACTGTAGCTGCCCTGCTGGCCCTGGGGAGGAGCCTCAAGCCCTGCTCATCGTGGCCACCCATCTCAGACCTACACCCCCAACCTGGAATATTCTCAAGTGTTCCTGCAACCACCTGGTGATTGTGTGTGCCTTTGTGAGGGCTAATATCTGTAAGTGACTGTCTCACTTGACTGTGAGGTCCTAGAGTCCCCTCTCCTCCCGTGCATGGGGCTCTAGTAAGAAGGGAATAGGGATGGCTCAGCACTGGCCTGAGAATCCTGTCTGCTGAAGTAGAGAGCTGCTGGGACCTGTGCTCAGTATCTCCTAAGTGCCCAGTCAAAAAGAACAGCAGATGCTGTGTTGCCCACAGGGGAGGGCCTGGATGGCCCCTAGTGGTACAGTGGCCAGGATCTCCTGCAGTGCAAAGTAAATGATCCTTGTAAGAGTGAGGCGGGGACATAGCCCCCATCTTCACATAGTGCACACTGCCAGAGCCAGCTGCAGGGTCAGCATGCCCTAAGCTAAGGCAGATGACTGCTTGGGAGAAAGGCGGGCCAGGTATTATGGGATGGTCAAATGCATCCTCAGCCTCCAAGCCACTGGATACTAATAGCATATATTTACCTCATCCTCCCAAGTCCTGACAATAAAAACCATTCCTAGACACTGCCAGATGTGTTCCAGGGGTTGGAAGCACTCCCCACCAAAAAGCCACCGCCCTTTATGTTTAACCAGATCTCAGAATAATTCATTCACGCTCCCTGTGTCAGGCTCTGCATCGCCCCTGCCCATGGTCGCATCCTCTATGCCACTGGAGCTATTGGTGGATTCCCTGAGCTAACTCTAGTAATAGATGGGCATGCAGCAAGCAGTATAAGGTACCAACAGCAATAATAACCTTGCCTAGGAACCTGGGAACACCCTGGTCCTGTCTTGACCTTCCAGATGCAGATGGGCAAAGCTTCCTCCGAGGGGAAGGAAGCAGAGGATCAAAGCTACCGTGCAGAGAAGGGGAGCGACGAGACAGGAGCAGCTGTGGCCTGTGCCCCTGGCTCCTGAGGCTGGACTGAGCCACAGCAGCCACGTCCGGTCCTGGCCTTGCTCCACGCTTCCACATTCCAATGAGATAAGCTAGATTCTAAACAATTTAGCCACTAGAATGTGAGCTATGCTGCTTTGGACAATTTGTTAAAAAAAGAAAAAAAAAGCCCAGTGCTAGCCAAAGTTTAAAATGGGCAGGTGACCTGTTGGTGCTGCTAGCTGCTACTGCCCAAGGGTCACCTACCTTGAAGTGTGTCCCTGGGGACATGACCTTCCACTCTGGTCTGTTTCCTCATTTATATCAAGGATGGTTCTAGAAGATAGCTAAAGCTGGCCATCTTAGTCCCTGTGTTTCTGCCATGTTTCAACCTAAAGAGGCAACAGCTTTGGCTGATCCAGGTCATCCCTGGCTTCCTTAGTAACGTGTATAACAAAGTCCTCACCCCCAAATTCCGAAGTCCTGCCTAGGATTTCGTGGGCTTAGTCCAGGCACAAGAGACCTGGTGTTAAGGTTCCCAGGAATACTGACACCACCGATCCAAACAAAGCCTGGCACACCCCCCAGAGTGTCTGTCATACCTGGAAGAGCAGTGTTCTGGGGAAGGGGAAGCTTCACGGAAGGCAGCCCTTCCAGGCAGATCTATACCCTCCCTCCCCCAAACACCTCTGTGACCCCCTCCCTCCAGGCACCCTTAGTAACCCAGTAGAGAGTCTGGACTCAGATGGGCACGCCTTCCGGACTCACAGCAGCTATGTCATGGCAGCAGGGCACAGCTCAAAGGTTGCCACTTCAAAGGGTGCCTGTCTCTCTGACTCAGAAACAGGGCCGACTAGGGTAGCCCCCTTTTAATTCTCTGCAAGGCTGTGCCTTTGAGTTCCCTCCCTCCCTCCCTCCCCACCTTTCAGCCCTGGCTTTTTCCTTCAGGCACTTTTGCTACAGCGGGTGTATAGCAAAAAGTATAGTTACTATTCCCCCCTGCAATGGTAGCCCTTCCCACCCCCTACAAATCTTTTCTAGAAAAAGTCAGGACTCTGGAGAGACAAGAGCCATGGCTGGTACAAGAATGTGATAGCAGCCACTGACAGCACTCAGCTCGACTATGAGCTTCTTAGAAGATCAAACAAAAAGGGAACAGAGTTGTTAAGGTTTGGGCCTAAAATGTGCCCCCTAGCCTCATACAATTGAATACTTGGTCCCTAGCTGGCGGTGCTGTTTAAGGAGGTTATGAAACCTCTGGGACACAGGGCCAAGCTGGCAGATGTAGGTCCCTGGATGCAGGCCTGGAGGGTTACAGCCTGCCCTGAGTTCTGGTTCCATGCTCTGCTTCCTGATCTACCAAGGTTTGGACAAACTGTGCTTCAAGATCTAGCCAACATGGGCTTAGCTGCTCCAGCCACCATGCCATTTCCTCCCAGAGTGAGAACACCCCAGGTCCCAGAGTCCCCCAATAAGTGCAGAAGTGGTTTACAGAGGCCCTGAAGAGCTGCTGTTCAAAGGCCCATCTGGCAGCAAGACTGCAGGAGATTGGGGGCTCCATGGATGACACCCCAAGGAATATATATGGGTTTGCTCTGCCAGACCAAGGCTTCCACACACCTGGGATGTTAGAGGAGACCTTGACTCCATTCAGCCCAGTCCCTGCTAATCTCTTCCCAGAGCAGAGGTGTTGAAGACACGAAACCTCCACACTAGCCATCAGGGCCGCCACCTCCACCAGCATGGTGTCAGCCAGGCCTCTCGACTGGCATGGGGCACTCAGTTCTCCGCTGGCCCCTGGCCAGCCTAACGCATTGGCTGGCTTCAGTTCTGAGCCCCATTCCAAGCTGGCACAGACTCTGTGTTTTGTTTAAGGAAAAGAAAACAGAATAAAACCCAGAAGGCGACACTTGGATTAAGGGGTGCCTATTAAAAACATGTGCAAAAGATTCCAGTCGGCAGAAGCAGAGGGGAGGAGGGGGGCACGTCAGCTTTCTCCTGAACCTCAGGCAGGCGATGGGTAAAGGTCTGTATGGTGGGTACCACAGTACTTGAGGTCAAAGCAGAGATGCCCTCCCCACCCATGAAGGGTGACTCTGCCTCCGTCTTGAAGATTCTACCCTCTGACCCCATAGCCCTTCTGGCTGTCTCTTCCTTAGCTGTTTGCTTCCACTGGAGAGTCCGTCCCCATGTGTATGACCCTGACCTGCAAGGGCCAGTACCGGTGACATGAGACATTCCCCTCATGCAAAGTAATTCATGCCCAGCCACTGGAGTACCATCTCCTGTGCTGGGGGGCGTTGGCCTTCTGTGGCCCCAGCACCTGGGTCCTCACTCCACCCTGCCTCCCAGGTTGAGGCAAAGAGCTAGGACGAACGGAGGAAGGAGTAGAAGCTGCTCTGACCTCAGACAAGTTTACTAAGTCAGGCAAACAGCACGGGCTGAAAACCAGACCCCTGTGCAGCTGATTTCCTGCCATCCTGTGTGTGTGTGTGTGTGTGTGTGTGTGTGTGTGTGTGAGAGAGAGAGAGAGAGAGAGAGAGAGAGAGAGAGAGAGAGAGAGAGAGAGATGCGCATGTGCTTCAGGACAAACTCAGATGCCAATCCCCACCTGTCTCCTGTTCAGCTGGCCAATGAGCTTCCAGGAGTCTCTTGCTGTAGGAGCGCTGGGAGTGCAGACAAATGCTCCCACATCCAGCATTACATGGGTTCTCGGGGTCTGAACTCAGGTCCTTGTGTGTGCACAGCTATACCTAGCAAGTCCCTTACCCAAGCCCCTGCCTGTGTTTCCATAAGCCACTGAAGGCTGCAGCTGGCCTTTAAGAAGTACTGTGTCTGGCAGCATGAATCCTGCTGGCTTCTCGTCATTCCAGGGGGTAAGGAGGTGAGGGGTGGGGGGAGAAGGGTGGGCTTCGGATCCTGCCACCCAGCCCAGCCCTAACCCAGCAGAGGAAGGCTCACCCTGTCATGGGCACTCCAGGAAGCCATTACCACAATAGGCTCAGCTCTCTGTTGTGTCGGGCTCTTACAAGGACCTCAGTTTCCTCAGCCCAGGCACACCCTACATGTGTCACTGTGACAGGGAACAACTTACTCACCAGAGGGTCACCTTTCCCTAACCTGCTGCTTCCTTCCCCTGTTTTCCTCAATCTTCCTGACGTAGACACTTGGGAAATTTCAGGTGACCCACCCAGCATGATGTGTCTGAACAGAAACAGGCCCAGCTCACAGCCCCTGCTCTGCAAAACAAAGGGCCCAGGGGTTCCCCAGGGTTAACCTCTGTGCACCATGCCCGGCTGGGGCTCAGTCCTGCCTTTGGGCCTTGTCTCTCAGGTCACTGCACCGCTGATTTTGAGAAGTTCATTCTTCTCCAGACCTGAGCTGGGGCCTGAGCGGGGAAGAAAATGGAAGCCATAACCAAATGTGGTACACTTTCTCTGCATAATAATTTCTTAACAAGACCTTTCAAAGACATACCTGTAATCTTGAGATGTCCCCATCTTTTTCTAGAAAGCACCCTTCTGGCTAGAATTACATCAGCTTGATATAATTATAGTCGTCTATAATCGTCTATAGTCGTCTGAGAGAAGAGAACCTCAGCTGAGAAAATGTCTCCAGAAGAGGCTAACCCTGGGGAACCCCTGGGCCCTTTGTTTTGCAGAGCAGGGGCTGTGGGCAAGCCTGTACCGCATTTTCTTTCTTAGCGATGGGTGTGAGAGGGCCCAGCCCATTGTAGGTGCGACCATCATTGGGCTGGTGGTCCTGGGTTCTCTAAGAAAGCAGGCTCAGCAAGCCATGAGGAATAAACCAAGTTAATGCCCCTACATGGCCTCTGCATCCACTCCTGCCTCCAGGCTCCTGCCCTGTTTGAGTTCCTGTCCTAACTTCCCTCAGTGATGGACTATGATGTGGATGTATTAGCCAAACAAACCCCTTCTCCCCAATCTGCTGATCATGGTTTCATTGCAGAAATGGTAACCCTATCTAAGACAACACTCTCGGTGTTCTGATCTCCATTCTGCAGTTTGGGGTACCTAGTCACCAATCACAAAGGGTGCGGCTTTTGCTACCTCAACAGCCCCCTTCTGCATGCCCTTCAGCCTGCGGCTCTCCTGCACCACACACCTCTGACTGTTCTGTGAAGGTTGCTCCCAAGCTCCTGATGCCCCTCCTCAGCTCTTCTGACATCTCATTTTGCACTCCTGAGAAGTCTCCTCTGCTGTCACTGGCTTTCAGCACCTCTACCTCCTGGCCACTGTGCCCATAACCCTATCCTCCTCCTGGCCTCAGGCTCTTGTCTTCTGTCCCCAGTGTCTCCTTCCGCCTATGTCTTTGGCTCTCTCCTGAGCCAGGGTCCTCTCTCTACCCAATCCACCCACTCCTATGATGTCAGCCAAACCTTCAGTGGCATTCCTGAATGGACTTGCTGGAATGGTCAGTGGGTAAGGGAGAAAAGTACCTAGCAGTCTTTGTGGGAAGGACAGGAGATGGACTGGACCCCTTCCTATGGGCTTCCTGGAGGTCTTGCTATGCTGCTCACCACAGAACTTGGGGAGGTGGCTTCACACAGGTACCGTGTGCTCTCTATCAATGCCTTGGAGTAACAGCAAACACAAAGCAAAGGTTACAACTTCCTGTCTTGGGCCCCTGCCTCCCTGACTTCCCAGGGAGGTTCCATGGAGCATAGAGACCTCTGGCAGTTCTCTCTAGGCCCATCACACCTCATCAGGGCAGGCCTCCTTATGGTCCCCGTCCTGTGTGCACAGGTCCACAGCCACTTTTTGAAACGGCCTTTCGTATTTCTCTAGCGTGTGAACCTTAGCTTCCCTTAGGATGCCCACCAACTACTTGGGTTTCTTTCTGGTTTTCCTCCAAGAATGCCTCATCAAATTTATACGCTATATAGTGGTCAGATTTCCTCTATGATGGTGCTATTAGGATCTCACCATAACCCCTCCAGCACACCTGCAACCTCCTGCTGTGAGGGCAGGGAAGCGGAGTGACATTGCATTCAAGACTCAGCTGCACCTTGCCCCTGCCCTTCCTGCTAGCTGATAACCACATTGGTGACTTCCTCGGAGCACACCTGCTCCTCCATCTGCAATGTCCCTCATCTCTCATCTCGTTCTATTTTCCAATGTCCACCTGGCCCAAGGTGAGTCTGGGCTGAGTCTGCCCAGCACATTGCTTATGGCTTCCTCTTGGCCATAGTCCACACTTCTATGCCTGCTCCCTCAGCTCCATAGGGAAATACAGGTGTGGTCATGTTGTGACCATGTTTCTAGCATGGCTCTAGACCAATGGTTCTCAACCCACGGGTCTCAACCCCCTTGGGGGGGGTGTCAAACAACCCTTTCATGGGGGTCACCTGAGACTATCAGGAAACACCAATATTACGATTCTTAACAGCAACCAAATTACAGTTATAGAGTAGAAACAAAGATAATTTTATGGCTGGGGGTTACAATATGGCGACTATATTATAGGGCCACAGCATTAGAAGTGTTGAGAATGACTGCCCCGGATCCTAGCATCTACACAGGGTATGGATCGAGGAGGCTCTCCTGAGCTGTGACATGAAAAGTGACCAAGCTTCTGCCATGGTTATGAAGACCAGCCCTCAGGGTACCCCGAAGGGCCCCCAGGAAACACTTGTCCCATCATTATTCTGCCCTGGCTCACCCTCCTCCCAGCCTGCACCCAGGTCGAAGATTTAAATGCACATGAGGGATCCTAAGTCAGAAAATTCTAGCCTGAGGCTGCTGCCACCGGCAGACTGGTCTGTGACCTTGATGGCTTTCCCAGTGGCACCTGCCTGAATACTTAAGGTGAAATGGTTCCAGAAATAAATCTAAAGCAGCTCATCCCCAAAGCTGGATGCCTTTAATGATCGGCCTTTAATGGCATCTAGTCTTGGTTTGTTTTCAATAACTCGGGCCTCCACTATCAAGAATGTGACCTTCCCTCAGCCAAGCTCCTCGAGATTACACTCCAAAGATTTAAACTGTATCTCAAAGTCATGTTTTGCTCCGCCCACCCGTCGGCACTTTTCAAAGACTCTTTATGTGTTTCCCAGTATTCCGCATGAGGAGTTTTCGCCAACATTATCGGCCAAGGTCTTGAAACAAATGGGCACACCAGCCTGTCCAGTGTGCTCTGCTCCAAAGTGTCCCACCATGATCAACTGCTTTTCCTGGGCCAGAGAGCAAGTGCCAGCCTTAACCCCAGCCCTGCCCCGCCCCCAATGAACCCAAACTACAGACCAGAATATCCAAAGCTACCTTTGATAAAAACACAGACATCTCATCTGTTCTGAGCCCCTCTGCCGTTTCTAGCCCCAAGGACTCCTGAAGAGTCTCCCTCCCCAATGCTGGAAGGATGCTGGCAGGCTGGCAGGGTGACCCTCAGAACGCTGACCTGTGTCCAACAGCTGAAGATTGTTGTGGGAACAGTGGGGTCAGCTGATAGAAACATCGTGAGATAGTACAGTGATAATCAAGACTTCCAAATGGAGAAACGCATTTGTAGAGGATCAGACGGGCCATGGCTTCAGTGGCACAGTATACATGTATACACTGCCCCACAAACACCGGACAGACCATGATAAAACAGTTGTGCTGGGCAGTGCGATCGTGGGCACATTGCTTTTCCCCCAAATTCCTTATATGTTGCTGCTTTAATAACAAGTTATTATGAGATGATAAACTCAGCTGAAATCCCACCGTGTGTCTGAAACAAGCTTCTGGGAGCCGGGGGCTGAGTCTGGGCAGCCGCCTGTGGCTTTGCCCCAAGCCACACACATGCGTTTGGCTGGCTGAGGCCCCGTCTCCTGGGCCTGAGGTCTGGGAGATTTCGTTCACTCACGTCTGAATGCCGCCCAGGGGAAACACGAACCCCAGCATAGGCTGTCTTTCCTGACACCACTGATCTCGGGTTTCCCTGTTCTGAGGTGACCCCAGGATCACTGTAACCAGAAACCCCATGGGTTAAGCTGGGCTGGTGGTGACGGAGAGGGTCAGGGCTCACCTTCACTGTCCCTTCCCACTCAGGCAATCAGCTGAGATGGCCCCCAGCTTACCGATGAATACTCACCCAAGTTATTGTGTGCTGGGGACATCGGATTCGGGGATAGGTTTGGAGAGCCTGCAAGGTGATACGCAGTTGTAAGATGTTGTTGGAGTATTCTACAGTCAAGACAGGATCCCTCACCATGCCATAAGGAAGCCCTGGACCAAACCTTAAGCAACCCAGCCTTGACCTGGCCTCATACACTCCCCGCCACACATCTAGGCATGCTGCCCTCTCTGTGGAATGGGTGGGTTAAGTAACCAGCCTTAGAGGGCCTCTCCGGCACAGGCCGTGGTAGGCTCGGCTAGGCCAGCGCACACACCTGCCCTCAGGGACAGCTGACTATCCTGAGGAAATGAAAGGGTAAAGATACACATTCCCATGCCTCACAGCCGGGTACTGTGGAGGGGCAGCCTTCCTCTCTCCCTCCCACACTGCCCAACTCCACAGTCTAGCTCTAAGGTACCTGAGATCACCTCAGGAAATTCACAGACCCAGCCTCAGAAATCCTGCAACTCAGCGACTGACTTGATACTTTGTGCAAGGCAGGATTCTACCGAATTCATACTCTGATCTTCTCTCTGCCCCAGCTACCAAGAAAAATCTCTCACACACACACACACACACACACACACACTCACACACACACACACACACCAGTCTTCAAAGAAAGCCAGTGGCGGCCTTTCCACAGGGCCCCATCCTACCCTCCTTTGTTCCCGCATGCCTTGGAGTGCAGTTACTTATTTATGAATGTCTTACAGCCTGGCCCCACCCCCTGACATCCACCAGACCTTGAGGCTGAGCCCTGAAGCTGCCTTGAGCTGTCCCTGGGGCTCTTTTATTTCATCCCAACAGAAGAGCTCTGAACTCTGAGGGTAAAGACCAGGTCACAGGCTTTCTCTTCTCCCCTGTGGCAGCACCTGACCCGGTGGAGATAAGAAACAATTCTGGAGGCCATAATGGTGCTTGAAAAGCTTGCTACATAATAGCCATAACTTTGGCTGTAGTTTTGGTAAAAATATATTACATTATGGGGCCTTAATTTTTCCCCTGGTACAAAGAAGGGAATAATCATCTATTGAACTATATAAACTAAGTATAAGATAGTTACATTAAAAAAAAAGATTAATGCCAGGATTGGCATACAGGAAACCTTCAATAGTTGTTTCCTATTTTGCAGTAGCTCAAATCATGAAGGTCAGGGTTATTCTGAAAGGGCACATATGCTGCCAGGCAAGACCTGAGGGTGACTTTGGTGACCCTCAGACCAGAGACACCTCCACACCTCACCTGATAGAGAAGAAAAGCCCATTAGCAATTGGACTAGGAGCCAAACAGGCTACTTTGAGGAAAACCAAGGGACAAAGAGAGACCTTTGCCCATCCATGCCTAGGTTAGCTGGGTACACAAACCCTGGCCCCCCAGAGCTTTGCATGGAGAAAGAGAAAGAGAGAGATAGGAGAGGGGACACAGTATAATGGGACAGAAAGACAATGAAGGGCGCAAGCAGCTTGAAGCCAGTGAAAGCATGCCTGACTAGTCCTTCCCACATACAGACCTCTCTGATCATGTTTGTTTATAATGGTCATTCTACACACAGAGGGGGGGGGCGGGACTGAGGAGAAGCTCTGCAGCTGGAGGCAGGCTGCCTAGCTGGCTCACTGCCCGTAGCTGCAAGTTTGCAGTGGTCACTTGGCACTGAGTACAAGAAGGTCTCCCGTGCACTCAGCTGGGTCCATGCTGCCAGCCACAGGCCTGGATAGGTATGTCTGGGGGCATGCTTGACCTAAGAGCACAATACCCCCGTGACTGTGCTTCTGCCGCATATGTAACCCTCTTCTACCCTCCTGTGGATTGTGTAAACTCTTGTGGTCTGTGCGTGAGGCAGCCCGCCATCGTGGGAACATCTGCTCTCTCCCTCCTCACCCACCACACAATGCCGAGCAGGTCCCGTGTGGCAGCTGGGGCTCTGTTCAAGAAGCTGCTCGTTTGGAAGCAATTTGGTCCCATAACATATGACACAGGAAACATCTGGGACCGCAGCAAGAGAAAACTCGGCCCAGTCCCTCCCAGCAGGGGCATGCCGATCTCATTTGTCCACTACATTTGAAAAAAAATAATAATAATAACAGTTGCTTCTGGTGTCTTTGCTGGCCACCAGAAAGGGCTGTTCCTCCACGCAGGTTTTCCTCCCTGCTCACCTGCACTGCTCTGGGTGTGGGAGTCCTTCTCCCACCCTCTGCCAGCACCTCACCCACATGGCCAGGCTACACTGTCAGGAAAACAACTTTGTGCCCCTGTGTATCTCCAGTGACGTACGAGGCACACGAGGAGTACTCTATAGACAGCAGGCAGGCAGGAAAGCAGGGGGGCAGAAGGGAGGGGCAAGCCACCACTACTGACCTGCGTCCATGCTGTGGTTCATCTGGTGGTCACTAGTTTCTCCATCTTCACTCAGGTAGCCAGGGGGTGGGGTTTCTGGGGATCAGAAGGCAGGCAGTCCCATTAGAAGGAATGTAAGGCCTGGCCCTGGCGCTCCATTTGCTGGCCAATATAGCATACATTCACTCCACCGCAGAGTGCAGAGTGCCTAGAAGAAAGCTGGGCCTCAAGGGCAGGTGTCAGTTCCTGGACTCTGCCATGCTCAGGCCTTTTCCAGCACTGCCCTCTGCCTCCCAACCTGGATCCTAACACACTGACTCCCAAATCTGAAATGCTTTGTTCTAGGACCACGGTTTAGCTGGCTTGTCCCCATCCTTCAAGGTCAGGTAAAGAAGGGAGGCTTTAGGACATGCCTACTTTACCATCTCTGTCCCCTGGGAGCTGTGGCCTTGAGGCTGTCCCTGTGCAAGCTGGCTGTTCCTGCCACTGTTGTCTCTAGGGGATGTGGCTTAACTCCCCAGTGAGGCTGCCGTTCAGTGGTGGCGCCCTCAATGATCCATTTCTCGGAACTCGACCTCACCTTCCCACCCTGCCTTAGCCCTCCAAGGTCTGCCATCTGATAGGGAGTGGACAGCTTAACACCCCCCCCCCCCCCGAGACTAGCACTACCTGCAAGGATCTGAGAAGCCAGACAGCTGGCCTCTGCGTGCATGCGTTCTGACCCAAGACACGGGCCACAGCTAACCTCAGCCCAGTAAGCCAACCCAGAGAGCAAAAGCCACATCCAAATTAGAACACTCTAAAAGGAACACAGCTGGATCATTGCCCCAAAAGCAAAAAGTGGCCCTGACTGGCCCTAGCATGGCCAAGCACAGCTTTCCTGGATGCCCAGAGTGCCCGGCAGTGATTCACACATGATCTGCATGTAGATGAGGGGCTTCCAGAAATGCTGGCACCATGACAATGAGGCACATTCTATTTACTGCCTCAACTCCCACTCTGCCCAGTCCAAAGCTCAGGGTATTTACAGGGCCCTCTGCTGCCTTGTTCCACACTCTGCAGCCTGTACCCCTCAGGGACCCTGCCTGTATGCCAGCCTTGTGGGCTGGGAGGGAGAGCAGAGACACAGTGTTGCTATTTCCGCTTTCAAAATAAATGACAGCACCGGAGCCCTGCACAAGGGTCACAGGGTCTCCCATGCCAAGAAAAACATCGTTAGGGGAATTTGGGCCACCGATCATTCCCGGTTGGGATATGGTTCATAATCAGGGCCCACGAGCCTGCTGTACGCAGGATGACGTGAAGAGAATGGGGAAATGGCGCCATCCCTGCCTCCTGGCTGCCTGTGCAGCCGCCAATGCCTACCTGGAATATTGCTTTGGGGCTCAATGCCAGCGGGGAAGTTAGTGTTCTCAGGGATGGAATGGCTGTAGTCATCCAGCGGGGGGAACTCAGCCGGGATCTCGGTGTGGCGTGGTACCAACACTGGAGGTAGAACTGTCCCCAAGGAAAACACAACAGAGGTGGGTCAGTGCCAGGTCGCTGAAGTCTCAGTCCCTGAGGGCACCTTAGACCCTCCAGAGTTGGTAGGACGGGGAGGGCAAGGCCACACACACACACATACCTGGTGTCTCTACTCTCTGATAGTGGTAAGGATTTACGCACACTTCATCCTTCTTCATGTTGAAGGCGAACTCACACAGCTCCATGGCCCGTAACTCATGGTGGCTGTGCAGGTCAGGCCATCGCCATAGGCGGCAGTAGATGACATGGGGGAGCCCCTTCCGATGGGACACCTGCAGCCGGCCATCCAGTGACCTGCCATGGCAGAGAAGGGACAGGAGGTGTCAGTGGTAGAGGCTTGGATTGCTGTCTCCCATCTCCGGCCCCCAACAGCTCCTGGGGAGTTCAAGTTTGCTGGCAGACACTCTCAAGTTCTTTCCTCCCCCACACACAGGGGACCAGGAAATCAAAGCATCACAGCTAACTGTTCTTACTGGACATGTGCCCAGCTCCCAAAAGCAGCAAGGAGGCCCACCAAAGAAGGCCGAGGCTTCCCAGGCCAAAAGAAAGGCCTTGCATCCAGCAGACCCCAGAATTCTCCCAGCAGCAGCTCTCAAGGAAGGGAACCTGCCTGAGATACACTCAAGCAGGTATACCTGCCACCAATCTTGCCCTTGTAGAGACGACCACTGGACAGGGTAGAGGCTGCATACAGAGGAGGTTAGGTGGCAGGCAGAACGAGTCTGACTGTTCCCCAGAAGCAGCAAATGGCCTCTGAGATGTTTACATGGGCTGTGTTCATGCACATGGATGAAAAAGGCAAATACTGTGATAAGTCTGACTGCGTGTGGCCCACAGGTTGCGGGGCGGGGGGGGGGGGTGGGGCTAGAGTAATGGAGGTAGGACTGCCTCTTCCATAAGAAGGCTTGTCCTAGGAGCTCCAGGTTAGGGGCATGATGCTTCTAGTAGCTGAGTCAAGCCAGCAGAGGGCCACTACAAACTGATCCAACAGATTTTATGATGCTTTATAAGAGAGAGGGCTGGGTAGATGTGCCAACCAGAACCAAACAGGGTCCAACCAATCTCCAAGGCACTGGCCTGAAATGGGGAGGGACAAAGGTCAGTGCTGGGCTTGGTCACAGGGACTGGCCGAGAGCTGCTGACTAAGGGCCTGTAGAAGGATGTAATTACCTCCCCACCCCCCTGAGGCCCAGACCAAATAGCCCCTGCAGCTGAAAACAGTAATTACTGAGCCGAACAAGAGAGGACAGCCTGAGACTAGTCCTTGAGGCACAGAAGGAAGTCAGCCGGATGTGCAGCCAGAAGACTGGAGATGTGGCTCACGCTCCTGACTCTGCAACCCTGGGCACCAGGACTCTCAACTGCTGCGTCTGTTACGATGGGGACAGTCTCCCCCTTGCCTGATCTCTACTAGAAACTGCTTTACAAAGCTCCAGCCCACGGTGAGCATTCCTCTCAGTCACTGGTGACTGTGGTCATTCTCTAAGCCAGCCGTAGGCAAAGCGGCTGAGCTGTGGGGTTGACAAAGAGAAAGGGTGAGGGGAAAGTGGAGACATAAAATCCTTCAGCTCTCCTCACTTTCTTTCAAAGCTACCGAATTCCCCAAAGATAAGGGAAGAGGCCACACTGACTCTTCAGGGTATGACAAAGGCACAGGACTGGCTGGATGCTGAGGTCACCTCTCTGGTGGGAAAGACGAGGACAAGAGAGAAGTGGCAGGAGAAGGACCATGCCAGCAGTGAGGAAGAATGGGCCCGACAGGCCTACCTGGATGGTGGGAGGGGTATCTTCTTGCTTTAAAAGTAACAAAGAGAGCTAGGGAGATGGCCAGCCAGCTGTGTCACAGGCGCAAGAACCTGTGTTCAGTCCTCGGAGCTCAAGGAAAAACAGCTGGCTATGGTAGCGCACTGAGTAGGCAGAAACAGCCAGATCGCGAGACCACCCTGCCTCACCTTCCTGATGAGACCCAGGCCAATGTGACCCTGTCTCAAAAAAAAATGAAAAAAACAAAGTGGACAGCAGCCAGAGTTGTCTTCTGACCTCCACAGTCATACACAAACATGTGCATAGGTACTGCACACATCAGCATACCTGCACACACAAACCCATACAAATACATGCATAGAAAATACAGTTCCAAAAAGCAAGAATGCTACCCTCATCAAAGCAATGTGGCAATGCACTCAAAACTGACCAGCATACCCATGGGACCCAAGAAAGGCCATACATAGTCACATATACATGAAGGCTGACTTTCAACGAAGGGCCAAAGACACACCAGCTGGGAGAGGTGGACCTTTCAGTAGGTGGTGCTGGACCTACTGGAGAGCCACACCAAGAAAAGTGAACTTCAACCTACACCTTACACCTCTGTAGGAATGGAAGGTCAAAGTACAAAACTCAAAACTACAAAAACATCAAGTCAAGACAGGCAGATGGTGGTGACATACGCCTTTAATACCAGCACTCAGGAGGCAGAGGCAGGTGACCTCTGTGAGTTCAAGACCTGGTCTACAGAGCGAGTTCCAGGACAGCTAGAGCTGTTACACAGAGAAACTGTCTTGAAAAACAAACAAACAAAATCAAACAACGAAAAAGTCAAGACAAACTTTGTAAGATCTCTGTGACTTGAACAATAACTTCTCGGATACTACACCAAAAGCACAATCCATTAAAAATCCAAGTTCATATATCGATAACTAGGAAATCAGGGTAGAGGCTCCTGATCTGCAGACTTAAACAAAAATAACAGGTGACATTGGCAAAGACTAAATCTCACAGAGCTTCCGTTTCTAGGGTAAAAAATGCCAAAACAACCGAATCTGGAATTAACAGGTGAATCATCTAGACAGACGCTAGTCTGAGATGACAAGATGTTCTATTTCATTACTAATTAGCAAAGTACAGGGGGTAGGGGACTAGAACTATAAATCTGTGCAGTGGATTAAAACTACCAAGGGACTCTCCAGCTGGCTCAGCAGCTGAGAACACTTGCCATTCTTGCGGAGGTCCTGGGTTTGATTCCCAGCACTCACGCAGAGGTTCACAACCACCCATAATTCTAGTTCCCGAGGGTGGTATGCCTTTTCCTTGGGCCATGGAGCACACCATCGTACATAGACATGCGTGCAGGCAAAATCCCACACACGTAAAATAAAATATAACTACATATGATGAGATGCCACCACACAACTATGGGAACAGCTAAATTAAAAGGACTGTGTGTGCCTCCTGGTGGCAACGGTGTGGAGCAACCGGAACTCGTATACGTCACTAACGGGAAACAGTGATAGAGTGGCTCTGACCGGTGGGGAGTTTCCTTCAAAGTCCAACGTAGAAACCTACTATACTAGTTTCTTTTTCAGTTGCTGTGATTAAATAATCTGACATAAATTGTGATGGTCTGTCTAACGGTCAGTTTGACAAATATAGAGTCCCCTGGGAGATGGGTCTCTATGTATGCCTGTCACAGGGGTATTATCCTGACTGGGTTAACTGAGATGGGAGACCAGCCCGCTAAGGGTAGCACCATTCTCTGGGATGGGATCCTGGACTGTTGAGAAGGAAAATGTGAGCGGGGAACAATCTTTATCTCTGTTTTCTTCCTGACCATGTCTGCACTATGACCAGCTGCCTCAAGCGCCCGCCTCCTTGACTTCCCACAGCGATGGTCTGCACCCCACTCCTGGTGCCAGCTTTTGTCTTAGCTAATTAGTGGCTGTAATAAAGTACCTTGACAAAAGCATCCTAAGGAACAAATAGCTTCTTTTGGCTTCCGGAGACCTACAACCCCTTCACTGCAGAAGAGAAGACAAAGCAACGGGAGCCAGAGGTCAGGTGGTCATATTGTATCTGTACTCAGGAAGCAGAGTGAACAGGAAGTGGGGCTAGGCTATAGGGCCTCAAAACCCACCTCTAGGGACTTACTTCCTCCAGGGGGACTCTCCCTCCTAAAGGTTCCATATCCTTCCAGTGCTGTCAAAGTTTGAGACCAAGCGTTCAGACATGTGAGCCTATAGAGTATATTTCATACTCAAGCCACAACACCTACCATAGGATCTACCTATTCTTCTTCTAAGCATTCCCCCAAGAGAAACAAAGCCATACGCCCACAAGTGTACGGACACCTAAGTACTTTGCTACGTCCACAAAGAGGATGACTGACAATATTGGCCTCTGGAGCAATGCATGGATGGATCAAGGTCATGAGTGAAAGGAACTGGGTCGTTCTGTGTATGTAAAATTGTTATTGCTTGGTTTTTTATTTTGACACAGCTGTCACTCACTCTAGCTTTGGTGATGGCAGATACGGTATAGTCCCCGGGCCAATTCAAACTTGTATGATCCTCTTGCCTCAACCTCCTAAGTGCTTGAACTACAGCCATGCATCACCACCATGCCCAGCAAGCTATGCCCGGGAAGGTGAGGCATGCATGCAGAGATGGGAGGGATGGAGTTAGCAAGGGAGACCTTGGCGGGATACAGGCTCTATTTATTATCTTGACTGTGGTGGCATTATGGACAGACACGTGCTGAAATTTACCAAACAGCACACTTTGGGTATGCACAGTTGATTTGTAAATTATACCACAATTCCAAGGGGAGGGGGGCAAAGAAGACTTTGGACTTGCCTAAGCCTGGATTTGCCATTTCTGTGTCCAGCAACTCTATAAATTTGAGCAAACCTCAGCCTTCGTATTTTGTCTGAACTAGAAGTACCATTGACAGCCTCTTGAGAGGCCTGGGTGACACTCCATGCAGCCCCGGTGCCGTGAGAACACATCAGACATCAGCAGGTTTCTGCATTAGCACCAAGGCTCCACACTGCCTCACTCCCGTGCATGATGCTAGGCTAAGGAAGGAGCCTAGCTGCTCAGAAGTCAGTCCTTCCTGGCTTGGGTGATCCAGGAGCGTAACAGGAGCAGCCACCATGGGGCTTCCTGTCTCCCTGGTGCCTGTTCCTGGTTCATCTTAGGTGGTCTCCACCAACACCATGCTGTATGGTTCATAAAGTAAGTCTCCAATGCTCCTGGCTCATTAAATCCAACCCCTTAGACCAGTCCAAAGCAAAGGTGGGACCCTAGAGCCACGCAGTCTGTACCAGGGCTGCAGCCAGAGGCCAGCTCTCCTAACTGCAAGGCTCTTGAGCACATGACCACCTGACCAGACTTTCAAGAAGTCATCTGGTCCACGTCCCTGCTTCGAAGCCATAAAATCATTATATATATCCCAAGATGACAAAGGCATCTCATTCATTCTTCACAGACCATTGTGGCAGCTCCTCTTGATTCAAA